CCCCGGGCGGCGGCGGCGGCGCCCCCGCCGAACGCCGCCGGCTGAGCGCCCTTTGCCCCTTTCTCCACTCCCAGCTGGTGTCCAGCGTGCCCACCCGCTGGCTGAAGTTCCTGAAGACGGCGGGCCACGGCACCAAGCAGGAGGAGATCCCCGAGGAGGAGCTGGAGGAGATGAAGGATCCCGACGAGATCGACCACGCCGAGATGGAGCTCAGGAGGGGCCAAGTGCTGTGGTGCAGAGGCCTGCAGCGCATACAGACGCAGGTCACCCTCCCTCCCTTCCTTGCTTCCTTCCTTCCTTCCTGCCAAAGGTTTTCGGGGAATGAAAAGAAAGCGCGACAAAGTTGGCAAACAAAAGTCCAGTGAGAGGATAAGCATGAAATTTTTTTTTTTTTTTTTTTTTGTGTACGTCAAAGTTTGACAGGACGGTCAAAATTATGTTGTGGTAATGTAATTCCACTCTCTGCCACCAGATGGCAATACATTAGCACATTTGACACTGCGTACATTTGAAAGAAGAAGAGTGAAAGCAGGAAGTATTTCGGGCCCAGCCTGGTTTTGGCTGACAATCTTCTTTGTACGGCTTCTGAAGACGACCTTAACCACCGGCCCTAGGTAGAGGAGTGATGGGAAAACAAATCTTCATGAAGCACTTTTTGGACTCCTCTAGGTGCTGCGTTTGGTTTAAATATAAAGGTGCGTGCAAAGGAAAAGCATTAAAATTCCACTGCATCTTCAAACCAAGCGTGCTTCATCGATTACATGTGCTTCATGAAGCTTCATTTTTCCATCACTCGTGTACAGTCCATCTTTGGGGGTGTCCATGTCAGGTTACGCCTCTCTGAAGGCGCGACTAATCCGTACAAGGTCAAGCATACGCTAAAATCAAATCTCCTTGCCATTTTAATGACGCCTCTGTCTGATATTCAAATATGGCGTTTGACGGTCTTTCCAGATCCGCGTGGTGAACGCCTTCCGCGACAGCGTGTCCCCGTACGAGAACCTGGAGACCCCCGAGTTGCGCAGCTCCATCCACAACTTCATGAGCCACCCCGAGTTCCGCATCGACGACTCGGAGCCTCACATCCCCCTCATTGACGAACTGGAGGTCGAGGACGAAGCGCCCACCAAGCGCAACTCGGTGGCGGTCGCCAACAACGCCCCCGGCGCCGCCCCCCCGGAGCGGGAGCGTCCCCTACTGCCAGCCGCGCACCTCAAGGACCAGCAGACCCCTCAGGCCAGGGCCGCGGGTTTGATCTCGGCCAATTGCGGGGGGGTGCCGCCCTGTCCCGGGAGCCCCCTGCACAGCTTGGAAACGTCGCTCTGAAGGAAGCAAAAAAAAAAAAGGAAATGGCCACCTGATGGGCGGGGAGCCAGGCAGAAACAGTTTTTGCGTGACGAGCCATGAACTCTCGCAGGTGTGCTTTAGCAGAAGGTGACTTGTTAATCATAAAAATCTCGCTTAGATATTAACGTGATGGATCTGTGACCTCGTGTTTGTAGGCGGCCAGGTTGGTTGGTGTCTTCATTGTATGTCGTGTGAGTTTTTGTAAAGAAAGAAATGGAACTTAGGTCATGGTTTTCACAGTCACAAGGAAGGAAAATGTTCCATTATCTTCTTATTTGAATTCCAAAATTTGAAAGGAAATAGAAAAACATCTTTCGTCATTGAACATATATTCACTGTCATTCATTCATGGTTTCATTTTTATATATGGAATGTCCACATAACTTGAAATGATACATTTATGGTCCTTTTTTAGTCATTAAAACATCTCTTTGAATTGAATATTTAGACTGCATTTTTATGCGCACGTTTTTTTTTTAATTCAAGGGATATTTGTTTTAAATGAATAGCATTTGTCAGTTTTACACACAAATTTGGGAGTTTTCATCAAGTGTGATTTCAACACACTCATCGTTATGATGGGATAATTGTTATAAATTCACTTTTGGATTCTGAGGAAGTGGTGGGCTTTTGTACTCACGGACCTAATTTCATTTTTAAAACAACCAATTGGCCTGGTCATTGGTAAATGAGGTGAAATCAAAAGTTAGAATAGTATTAGTTTTACCAAAATGAGGCAGAAATTTGTTTTAATAGAGGTAAAATATAATATTTTAATGTCATTATCGTTTTAATTGCAAACATAATTCGTCAATCATTTGGTACATTTGAAAAATGCATTGTGCATCAAATTATTGATCTTACCAATATTTTTATGAACCATTTCCCCTCAATAGCCATGAAGCACGTGGCCTCGAGAGCCCTCTAGTGGACATCCCGCGTTATAGCGATGTGAACAAGGTACACTTTATAGACATTAGTGCCATCTAGCGGTGTACTGAGAGACTGCAACAATCCTAGTTTAAAGCGGGTGCATTTTGAAGCACGCGCAACTTCGGTGCCGCAGAGTGACCACACTTCGCAATACTGTAATACCATCTTTTTGTAAATGTGACGGCAAAATGTCAACCTAAAGGCCTTCTTTTGGCGCACTCCATGCAATATAATTAGCGCTCACTTCACATTACATCACAGACGGTCTTTCCAGATCTGCCTCAGTGCAGATGCGGGCTTCCTGTGTGGAGTTTGCATGGTAATTGGACACTCGATTGTCTGAAAGTGTGACTGCTGGAGTGAATGGTTGCTTTCTATGTGTGCCCTGCGATTGGCTGGTAGTACGCCCGCGACTCTCGTGAGGATGAACCGCACACATCAAAGTTCAAAGTCAACTTTATTGTCAAATGTGCTCTTTATACTACAACATACAGCACAGTTGACATTTCTTTCCTCTCAACCACGTGCAAACATGCAGTGCATTAAAAACACACACAACTAAAAATAAGGATAATGGATGGATGAATATTTTAAAAGTAAGCTCAAAAGAGACCGGGAACTCTTAAACTGAAATCACCACCGGCACTTCTGGTTTGCGCTCCTTGTCCAATCACGATTGCTTCCGTATGACGTCATTCGCCAACATGGCGGCGGACTGGAACCGAGGTAGATCCTGTATTTGTTTTGACACGTCCGAATCGGGAAAAGAATCACGTTCATAAGTACACCTCACCGTGCTTTTAAGTTTGGATTTACGATCATTTGCATCTAAAAAAATAAATAGTAGAAATACAGTTGCCACGTAGGTCGCCGTAAAACAAGACTCGAAATTGACGCGTTTGTTTTTCCATCTGGCGAAGTGTTCGTGGTGCTTTTTGAACCTAAGAGTTGTCCCTTTAAATTAAACGTACGCCAGGCAACGTGGAGGCATCTGATGTCGTGTGTGTCACACGATGAAGTACTGTGTCATAGAAGCTGCGACGTGTTTATCCCTGCAGGGCATGGCTCGGTGGAGGACATGCTGGACGTCGAGAACAAGCGTCTGGCTGACAACTTGGCCACCAAAGTCTCCCGACTCAAATCTGTAAGTAAATCAGCCGTGTCACCGTCACAAGTGCGTAGCCACACTGTCTTCAAATTAGGCTACTCTTAAGAACAAGATGACTCGCGTTAACGTAAAAAATAGGTCTCTAAATAATTACCTGATTAGTATCAGGGGGCGGGGGGGGTAACTTTTATTAAATATCACTTGTCCAGATACTGCAGTATGACATAAACAGTACAGAATTAATGGATAACTAGTTTTGACAGTTTGTTCAACCGTTGTCGAAGTTACTGTTATAACAAGAAAATGTTTTCAATATCTCAGCATTATTTATTAGGCATGAAAATTTGAAATGATGGCACAGATAAAAGCAAGCATCATGGAAGTTCGCCTCCTTGGTTTGCTTTCGCGGGCCACATAAAATGTGGCGGGCCGGATCTGGCCCGAGGGCCTTAGAGTTCGACACCTGTGAAGTCGTGGTCGGATGGATGGTTTAATGAAGATTGAGCCACGCTTCGCCCCCTGGTGGTCGGTTGACTGCTGGTTGAGGAAGCGCTGAACACAATGTGCAGCAAGTGGCGTTTCAAATGTTAGAATGGCCGACTGATTCGTTTAATTGTGGCTGCCAAATTGTGATCACAATTAATTGTGCAACCCGAGACAAGCCCCCCCACCCCCCACTTTAACCGCTCTCATTTTGGGTCACCATAACTGCAATGTGAAATGTTAATTTTGAGTAAGCAAGATAGTGGCTAAGCGTGTGGAGCCTTCTCTGACAGCTGGCGTACGACATTGACAGAGAGGCCGACGATCAGAACGACTACTTGGACGCCATGGTGAGTTCAAACCGATTGTGTCCGTCAAAGTGGGAAAGCGGCGGCGCATTTTGACATACTTGCCGCTCCCGCCAGGACTCCAACTTTCTGAGCAACACGAGCCTGCTGGGCGGCAGCGCCAAGCGCTTCTCCAACATGATGCGCTCGGGACGCGACAACCGCCGCATCATGTGCTATGTCACCATCGGCCTGGTGGTCTTCTTCTGCGTGCTCTACTACGTCGTCACCAGGATGCAACGCTGAGCCGCTCGCCATCTCTCGGCCGCTCCCGCCGCACACGACCACAAGACTGCACGGGAAGGAAACAGTTGAGGGGAGGGGAAAAAAAAAGAAACAAAACAAGGCGAGCCATGGAAGCGATCTGCAGGGAGCAGCAAAGAGTGCGTGAGCAGCAGCTGGGAACCGAAAGACGTTGTTTTTTTTGGGGGGGGGGGCATCCAGATTGAAGAAATGCGGATTCGTTTTGGTTAAATTCTAGTGGTTGTGTACAGTTAAATTTCCTAATGACATTACAGTTGACTATAGAGTTTGTAAAATACTTAGTGACATCTTCAATGTAAATGTTCCTGTTCTGCAGTTGGCAAAAGACTGATTGCTGCATATTTATTCTACCTTTTTAGTTTGTATCGATGTTTGTAGCTTGTCAACTGGCTTTTCAATTCCATTCCGCTTTTGTGTTGACTCTTTTTGCAAATAAATGGTTAAAATGTGCATGATATATACTGTACAGGGTTGAAATCAATGGGCCCACAGTGAATGTGTCACTCATATGATGTGCGCTTAAAAATGAAAAAATGCATATTAATTTCAAATAATTTTGATGACCCTGAATGTTATTATTTTTTAAAAGTCACGTTTTATTGACATGATTTACATTCTTATTAGTACAATACCAGTATTTACTATTTTTCCCTAGTCATTGGGGAATTTCAGAATAAGATGCATCCAGTGTGTGTTTCATGGTAACGCGAAGCGGAAACTGGCGTTTCATTCGGGAAACGATCCATTCTCTTCGGCCTCGCTCGGCTTTTTCCGGCGACTCGTTGAGGGGGACTTGTGGAAAAACAAACCGCGAGGCGGCGTTTTCTCTCTGCGGTGGCCTTGGCATCGCTTCGAAGAAAACGTCGTCGTCGTTTCATTTTTCCTTCAAATGAAGTGAGCTCATTCCCGACCGACTCCCGAGTCCTTCCTCGGCGTTCCCCGTGGCTCTTCGGTCGATTTCGGCTCTCGTCGTGTCTTTCGCCGGAGGAATGGACGAAGCGGAATCGGCGACGAAGGCGCTCGGGTTGGACGAACCCCGCAGGCGGGCGGGCTCGGATACCGAGTCGGACGCCGAAGTCTCCACGATGGCCGTCATGGCGGCGCCGGAAAACATCGACATGGGGGCCGAAGCGATGCCGAATCCCGACGACGCCGAGTCGGCTTTCGCAGGCAAGGCGGCGAGCTCCGAGCTAGCTGGCAGGGCAGGCCGCATCCTAGCGCCGCCGAGTGGCGCTAAAAGTCAAAAATTGCCCCACTTCCTGCTTCTCACAAAGAGCTTGTTCTTATCCGTATTTCGTGGTATTTGCAGTTCGTCGGGATCAGTACCGCTTCTCAAAACAATTGTACACTAGGCATCACAAGAAAATGGATTGCGTCTATTATTGCTAATGTCCTGTAAAGCATTTCTAAACAAGCAATCTTGTTGGTAAAAGTGTCTCCGGACCCCGTTTACTTTTCCCGTCATTTAAGTATTACGGTGATCGTACGCCGTCTGATCGTTTTGACTTGAGAAGGAGTGCGCTCATTTTTATGTTTCGTGATATAACTGCAGTCCACCGGCATAAAGAATCAAGAGCTTCAATCAAGATTCATCGAAATTTTCCCCACAAAACTCAGATTGTCTATTTGGTCATTTTAACTTTGCACCAACCTTGTCTCCTAATGTCGCCGAGCACCCACAAGGAGTTTATCCTTATCCGTATCCGCTGAATTTTTAGTTGGTCGGCATCATTCGAAAATGTGTTCAATCACGATTTACCGCAAGAAAATGCTGCTGACGTGTCGTGTTTCCGCTGCTCTCCAAAAATTGCCAAACTGAACTCTGTTTCTTCATTCGGTAATTTGGAATTTTGGGAATTTGCGGCGAGTCTCTTACCTGCAGTTATCAACCACTGAGATTGTGTTGACCTAATTTCATATTTCGTGATATCTGCAGTCCGTCGACATCGATAGTGAATGTGCTTACTCAAGATTTACAGCAAGCAAGTGCTTTTTTTCCTGTTGTGTACTCATACTACTTGCCCAAGTAAAGTAGTAAAGCGACCCGAAATCCTCAAATACGGAGTTGATTGATTTTCCCGTTTTCGTCACGGCTATGGCTCGGCGGCGTAAATATTAATTGCAGTTCCAATCTGGATTCACGCATTAACAAGTGCCTCCGTGTTTCCACTCGCTCGATAAAAGCCAAACGAGCTGCAATATCAGAACGTTCGTTCTGCAAAAGAAATGAAGAGAACGAATGAACTTGTCTGGACATTTCATCATGAATGGGCAGCAATGACAAATGTGACTGAATGAAGATTCACCACAAGCGAGTGCCGTCATGATGTGTTTGCCCCAACGTTGATGAACCGAATCCCGTTCACTTATTTGAGAAACAATTTTAACCTTGCAGTTCACTCCGTTACATGTATCATCAAAAACCCGCGACCAAGACCAGAGCGCCTCAGTTCAACGTTTCATGAGCTCGAGAGTAATTCAATGTGATTCAATCCAGATGAATGCTTTGGCTACACAACAACAACAACAACAAAGTAGCTTGACCGAACTGTTCCCGCACTGAATGAAAATGTTTAACTTTGAACTATAATTGAATTTCTCCCATGAAGACAAGCATTGATGCATTAAATGCATCCCTCTTTTCAAGTTGTCTGGTGACTACCGGCTAGATGAAATCATGATTTTCATGTGATATCTTGGATAAGCAGGGGTCACCAACTCCGTTCCTGGAGGGCCACTATCCTGCTGGTTTGAGATGTTCTCCCTCCTCCAGCACACCAGATTCAGGCGGAGTGGGTGACCCCTGCCCCCCCCCCACCCATAAGAACACCAGCGGTTGTGTGGATCAATTAGGCAAGTGGTTTTGATTCTGCTTATGTCCCGGCGCAGAGGTCTCCACGGTGGCGGTGGAAGACGTTCAGGCTGCAGACGACAACGTTTTCACCACCCCGGTGGATGCGGTGGAAAACCTTCCGGAACACGTGTTGGTACAGCTAAACACACGTACAGTATACACGCCCTAGACTCAACTCAAGTGTCTTTCTCAAGCACTTGAAAACAACCCCCTCGGCATACAAAGTGCCGTACATGGGGCGAAAAGAATTTATGTAACAACAAACCATCAAACAAATTTATAATTAACACAGTAGAAAGCACAAAAACACTCCAATTCCAAATCAAGTCTCATACTGGGTCAAAAGACAAGCTTGAAAGCTGGGTAGGCAGGGGGATTGCCCCAACGTCCAATTTCAAACCACTGTCCTGTTGAAGACCCAAGTTGGAGACTGTTGGCTTAAGATAAGGAGCCAGGGGGCCCAGGTCCACAGGATGGGATGGACAAGGGCCGCTGGAACCAAACACTCTCACTTCTGTCTTCATTTCATTGACATTCAAGAAATCCAGTCCCATCCAGGTCTTGAGATTTTCTCCAGACCGGATACAAGGGGCCTCAATGAGAAAGCCTCTTTTTTTTGCTCAGCGGGACATCGATCTGACAGTCATCTGCATAGCAGCGGAAGGAAATGCCAGGTTTCCTTAAGATGGAACCCAAAGGGAGCAGATCCCGTCAGAACAGCGGAGGCCCCAGAATTGAGCCCTGTGGGACACACACATTCAGTCATACGTGTGTGTGTATTTCTGTTTGCTCCTGACAGAGCGGAAGGAGCCCCCTGGAGCTGGCCGAGGGTCTGAGCGGCCAGAAGACCACCCTCATCGTGGTCCACACCGACACGACAGTTGGACAGCAAGACCGACTCAAGTCTGCGTCCGCCATCTCGACTGGTAAACGCGCACGTCGCGCTCTGTGTGCACGTGCGCCTCTTTGGATCTGTGCCGGCGTGTGTATCGTCTCCCCTTTGCGTGTCCAGCTCTGCCTGTGTCTGTATGTTGCAGTCTTTGTGTGTGCACGTGTGTGGACATGCATCTTTCTGTGTGTCTTCAAGTATCAATGTACAATACAAAATGTGTATCATTGCGTGTCTGTACATTTTTGTGTGAGTGTGTGCGTGCATGCGCATTGTTCTCTGCATGTTTTTGTGTGTCATTACATGTGTGCGTGCATCTTTTTCTGTGTGTGCGTGCGTACGTGTGTGACGGGCTCCCCCTGTTTGACCGCTCAGGCCTGGCGACTCCACCCACTCCGCCGGCTCCTCCCCAGGACAAAGAGCCCGCCTCCAAGTACAACTGGGACCCGTCGGTATACAACAACGAGCTGCCGGTGCGATGCCGCAACAGCAGCGGCGTCCTCTACAAAAGCCGCCTGGGCTCCGGTGAGCGCACCAGCCGCTGCGTGACGCGTGCGTGTCGCGTCGCCGGACGTGGAGCCGTGACTGTTCGGCTCAACACCGTGGCAAGAGAAAACAAAAGAATAGAGCAAAACTCCGCACTTGGTGGGGATGAAACGCAACCTCCGGGGCGCACGCCGCAAACATCTTGGGACATAACACAAAATGGCAGACGCGTTAGACACGCTGCACATGCAAGGCTACCTTGTGCGTATGCTACATGAATACACGATGGGATGTCGACGCAATATTGTGAGTCACCACCAGTAACATTTTGTGCGCCCACAATGTTGTGCCATTTTTCCAGAATCTTGGGTCACGTTCCCACAATGTGATGTTTTTCAGACCGATACCAATACGAGTACTCAAACTGCTGAGTATGCGCCGATACCAAGTAACCGATACCACTGGTCCTTGTGATACGTGAAATGCGAGTGCAATTTAAAGATCACCCTCCAGCCTGACAGGATGAAGTGTTTTCCGTTGTCCACTTTGAATTTTGCGTAACATTTGCGCTTTGTGTGTTGAGGCGGTAAAGGTCGCTGCATCAAACACGATCAGCGGTGGTTGACACCCACCGAGTTTGAGGCTCTGGCGGGTCGCGCCAGCAGCAAAGACTGGAAGAGGAGCATCCGCTACGGAGGGAGGCCTCTGCTCTGCCTCATACAGGTCCCGACACGTCTGTGTCCGTCCGTCCGTCCGCCCGCGCGCGGCCCCGAGCGCTGCCGCCTTATACCCGGATCTCGTGTGTCTGCGCGCAGGACCGCATCCTCAACCCTCACGCCGCCTCGTGTACGTGCGCGGCCTGCTGTGACGACATGGTCCTGGTGAGGCGCCGCCGATTCTGGTGCTGCTTCGATGTTGCATGATTCACTCCGATCAGGGTTTGGCTCCTTCCAATGATGACGTGATTCACTCCCGTGTTGCGATTCGTTGCACTCACAGAACGATTCATTCCTATTGCGATGTGAGTCGCTCCAATTGTCTGATCGAGTCGCAATACGATGCAAGTCATTCAGTGACCACATGATTTGGGCCAATTCTGATTTGATATGAGACGATTGACTGCATGTTGTGGTTCTGCGAGCTGATATGGCTAATTGTGTATTTGTTGTTCTCAGGATGGAGACTCCTTGGAAGCCGAGAACATCACAATGGTATTCTTTGAGGGGAAAATAAAAATCTCCAAAAGTGTTGTCTCCTGCTGCCACCCAATATGATGTCGGTGTTCAACAGAACGGCCCAGTGCGGCTCTTCGTCCCGTACAAGCGAAGGCGGAAGGAGACGGAAACGTCGGCTGTTCCCGCCAAAAAGGACGTCCCTGCCAGCAAAAATATCACGCTGAGCCCAGGGACCACATGTGAGTCACATGACCGATGTCCAGGGACGCCCTGGGACCAAAATTCGGTCCGGGAATAGACACTTGCTGAACAATTCTCATCGATTGTGGGGGTGGGGGGGGTGGCCTTCATATGCCTAAAGGTCGTCAGTGAAGGGGTGTGTTCGTTGCGCGCTGAAACGTCCTCCATGAAGTCACTTCAGGTCATGCAAAGATGTGTGATGTTTTTTTTTCTCTCCTCTTGCAGTCACGGTGTCACCGATGGGTCAGATCGCCCCGTCGGGGACGTTGTCTTTCGAGCGCTCGCCCAGCAGCGACACGGCCGCCGCCGCCGCCGCCATTATCTCGGACGCCTCGGCGCAGAGCGAAGTCTACGCGGACACGGCAGGTGCTCTGATTAGCGCGCCACACATTCCAATGAGCATACGGATCCCTTCAAATACGATGCCGTGCATTGCGATTGACTCCAACTGCGGTACGATTCCCTTCTAGCAGCGGGGTTCAACTCATTTTTGTCGCGGGCCACTTTGGAGTTTCGGTTTCCCTGCGAGGGCCATTATGACTGTGAATTTTGTTAAACCAAATGTTGAGCCACCTCCACATATGACAGACACAGCGAACAACAAATTGATAGATAGCTTGTTTTGAAATCAGAAGTCAGGAATAATGGCTTGTTTAAATATTGTTGTCAAGGATTTGAGGTGACAATTTGAAATTTTGGTTCAGACTTGAGCAAGCATCATGAAAGTTGACATGCTTGAGTTGCTTTCGCGGGCCACATAAAATGATGTGGCGGGCCGGATCTGGCCCCCGGGCCTTAACTTTGACACCTGTGCCTTATAGGATGCGATTCGCTCTGATTACGATGCACTTCACTCCCGATGCAATACTGCGCCTTCGAGTGCCAATACGATTACCCCCAATTGTGATTTAGGATATGATTCACTCTCGAATGATGTTTCACCCGACGTGCAACACAATTCTTTTTTTCTTGCACAATTCACTTTAATTACAATACGGTGAATTCCGACGATGATACGATTCACTCTGATGACGGTGCCATTTTTTTTTTGGGGGGGGGGCGTGGTTGTCTGTACTATCCGACGAATCTTTTAATTGACAGATTAATCGATTGTTAAAATAATCGGTCATAGCAGCCCTATGCCTAGAACACGAAGGGACGCGTCGGCGTTGAGCGAGGCCCGAATGACTTCTCTCCCGTGCCATCAGTGTTGACGGCCTTACCGGCGTTGGCGCTGTGCCCCCAAGCCAAGATGGCGGTGGCGTCCCCTTCGCCGTCGCTGGTGGGCACTCTGGAGGTGGGGCCTGTGGCGGGGGCCACCTTGGCAGTGGGTCCGCCTCTCTTGAGCGGCGGCCCCGCCGACGCCTGGCAGGGCCTGGAGGAGATGGCCAACACCCTCATGAGCAACGCGCAGCAGCTCAAAGCCTTGATCGAGCAGGCCAAAAGGGACAATAAAGGGCACAAGGAGGTAAGGCTGAGGCCCACAACACCGCCAAATAATCACTTGCAACAACCGAAGCTTCATGAAGCACTTTTGACTCCTCGTGATGGCGCTCTCGGTTTAAAGATGGAATGGAATTTTAAAACCTTTCCATTGCACGAACCTTTGTATTCAAACCAAGAGCACCATCTAGAGGATTCAAAAGATATCACAAGTGCTTCATGAAGCTTCGTTTTCCCGGCACCACTCACAACTCACATCACAGAATAAAATCACAATGTCGATCCTCCCCAGCCCCCCTGCTCTCTGAGCAGTTCCCCACAAATCCTCCAGTTTGGTTGGATTATCGGCATGCGCGTACCCATGTGAAGGGCCGCCACCTCGTTGACTGCGTGTGTGTTTGTGTTCAGTGTGCTGTCAGTCAGTCCTTCCAGAACCAGATAACATTCCAGACGCCGCCGGACGACACACAAGCCAAACGGAGCACCGACATCGCTGAGGTCATCCTCAATGTAAGTTTTCCAAACTCAAACTCAAGTCTCATGCCGAGTCCAAAGCCATGAATAAAAATGAGCTTGAAGACGAGTTTGTAAGATGGCCAGCGAAGGGGCTTGCCCAACATTCATTCCAAAGAGAAGGAGCGGCAACGGAAAAGCCTCCGCTTAGTCCTCGCAACATCTACTCGCGTCTGGTCTCGTGGAGACCCGAGGCACCTCCGAGGGGGAAGGTGGGGCCAGGCCGTTTCAAGATTTGAAAACAAATAAGAACATCTTCAAAAGCACTCTAAAACGTATTTTTGGAGCCAGTGAAGACACGCCAGAGTAGGAATTACGTGCTCTCTCTTAACGAGTACCGGTCAAGAGACGAGCAGCAGCGATCTGGAGCAACTGGAGATGCGTGATGGAGGATTGTCTGACTCCAAAGTCAAGTGCATGACAGTAATCTGGCCGGGATGTGACGAAGGCACGAACGACTGTTTCAAAGTGCTCTTGGGAAAGCAGAGGCTTGACTTGAGCCAGCCGCCAAAGATGAAAGATGCCGGATTGGACAACGGCACCAAATTTGCCGCTCCAATTTCAAACCACTGTCCAGTTGAAGACCCCAGGTCGAGACCGTTGGCCTAAAATCATGAGGAAGACTTGCGACTTGCACATGCTGCGCATGTGGCGAGCCAGAAATGATTCACCGTATAAGATACATCACACGCTGTCCTTAACGTACATTTTTGGACATGTCTTCATTCCCAATGCGCTGCCATACATGGGTGAAGATTGAAACGGCACGTTCGTGTGGTCTTTTCAGCAGATGTGCGAGAACTGCGGCCGCGTGGCCCTCAGCGAGTGCACGGGCTGCCGGAAAGTCAACTACTGCTCCACTTTCTGCCAGAGGAAGGTGAGTGTGCGGGGCAGACGCACGTTCCAAGTTGACGTCAGTGTGCACTGGTTTGTTGTTTTCACATTTGAGTATGAACGATGACATATGAGGACATTTCCGTTTCACCCTTGCAGGACTGGAGAGATCATCAGAACAGCTGCTTCCAATCAGGAGGAGGCGGGGCCGCCCCGGAGGACGAGCCAATGGCGGCCCTTGGCATGGACAAAGTGAAGTGAGAGGGCGTGGCTGGACCCGCCCACTTGAATCCTTCCTCACCATCACGAGAGAAAAACTCACGAGACAAAAACAGAGAATATTTTTCTTTGGAGTGGAGGCCTTTCTTGATCATCTTCATGTTTGCAAGTTTTCCGCACTCGTGTTTTGCATATTATATATGTGTGTGTGTGTGTGTGTGTGTCTATACACACACAATATATATATATATATTGTTGTCATTGTCTGGTGCCAAGATAAAATTGACACAAAGCCAATTCAAAGTATGAATTGATTCACTCAAACTCGGTTGAAGTTGTCGATGAAGTTGTCTATGAATTCAAAATTCATTTGACCTCTTCAATCTCAATGATTTCATTGTTAGATATGTTTTCATATACAGTCAACAAATGATTATTGAGTTGGTAGTTCATATTTTAAAATGTAATTCATGGACCATGAAATCAATTCATTTTTTTGATTCTTATTTGAACTCTTTTTTTTTTTTTTTTTTTTTTTTGCCCATCTATTTCCTTTTGGGCAAAAAAAAAAAAAAGAAAAATGAAATCAGATGTTGAGTTAAATAAGTACAGATGCTCTGAAATAATTTGTAAAAAGTCAAACAATTTCTTGACAATTCCAATCAATAATGTGGAAATTCCATTGACATGTCATGAAATAAAGAAATGGTTGATATTTCTTTCATTTTGGCATTCGGTCCCATTCCTAAAAAAAAAAAAATCCATCATGAAATAAAATCACATACAAAAATAAAAAAGTTTGCGTTGAAAGCTTTTATTGTGAAAAGATGAGACTGACTTTGAAAAAAAAAAGTTCCCGTCTATGGCGCGCCGAGCAAACCACGACAGCAACAAAGAGCGAGCGGGTTCATGCGGCGCCGCGGCGGGAGGAGCAGCAGCAGCAGCCGCGGCGCAGGAAGTTTTTGAAAAAGCGGCGGAACTCTGCGTTGAAGGCGGTGTAGATGACGGGATTGAGTGCGCTGTTGACGTAGCCCAGCCACGTGGCCACGCTCATGACGGCCGGCGGGATGTCGCACGCCTGGCAGCGAGCGCGCACGATGTGCAGCACGAAGAACGGCGTCCAGCACAACAGGAACACGCCTGAGACCCCCCCACACCCCCAAGAAAAAAAAAAGGGTCAGTTAGACACGGGCAAATATCATGGCGTTACGTCGCGCCCTCACCTCAGCGTCACAGTTGCTTTCCTTCGCCCATCTATGGCGTTCCCCAACATGCGTTCGCAAGCGGACTTTGATCAAGCAAAATTGCGGTTTGGTTTGGTTCGATACCATACGTCATTTGTCGTGTTTGGTTTGACAGGAAGCTACAAAGTAAATGTAGGTCAACATTTGCATCCGCGGTCGAATTTTTACTGGCAACGCGAAGCAATAAAGAACTCGGAAATCTCATGTCGGGTCCCTTGCAAGTCGAGGGATCGCTGTAAACATTTGCTTGTAGGCGTTAGTTGCCAAAAGGAATTCCAAATGTGCACCTTGGACGCAACAGAGCGTTCCAAGTGAGTGAGTGTCGGGTGTTCAAAACGTTGAATTTGCAAAATGCGGCCATTTTTACTCGCAGTGTGAAAGGGGCTTTTGACACAAACACAAACTCTTGTGCGTTGAAGGAACATTTCACGCTGGCCCTCGCATCTGAGCAGTTTACACGCTGTAATTGGCTTTCAGGATTAAGGCGGTGCAGGATTAGCCGCCGCATGCTAAAGGGAAGCACTTCTACGCATTAGCGCTGCGCTAGCCGCTATTAATAGGCGCAACTTTTCCCGCTGATTTGTTCCGCCGCCTGAACACGCAAAGGCAGTAAAGATGGCGCAAGGACACGGACGAGGTACTGTCGCCTCGACCGGCAGTGTGAAAATTGCTCGCCACACAAACGCCGTCCCGCTTCTGGGACGGCTTTCACGCCGCCTCCGATGCGACCTCAGAAGAAAAAGCAAACCGCCGGGTTGACTTTATCTTCAACTCTGCAGGGCCCGACATGAAGCCTTTTGAGTGGCGACACAAGCAGCAACCGAGCCTGGTTTGAAACACGGCTGCACCGTGCATTAAATGCAGGCGATCTCACGTGTGTAGCAGGGGTGAAAAGAGCAAAGCTGGGTGATCGGTTTTATGGGTACAACTCGTGTTGAGTATTAGATTTGAAAAGACAAGAATATCGCATTTATGGATGAAATTTGGTTGGGCCAGCATCAGTAAACTTGAGCCGCGTGGAGGCCACGGGCCATCGGGCCACTGTTAATCTCGGACTCTGAATCTGGGAAATGGGCTGCTGTGACAGGGGCTTTTCCACGCAAAAGCTGTCCCGCCTCTGTTGCAATCAACCTCCGAAAGCAGGTTGATTGCTGCGTACCTACGACCACAGGCAGCACCTTCATGGCCTTCCTCTCGCGGGTGTTGATCTTGGCCCTGCTCCTGCGCCGAGGTTGGGGGTTGAACTTGACATCGGCGAAGCTGACCGTCGGCGCTCGTCCCGAGGACGGGGGAGCGGCGGCGGCGGCGGCGGCTTGGTCGGCCGGTTCCCGCTCGATGACGGGCGGCAAAAGCGGCGGCAGGCCGGCCAAGGGCGGGAGCGAGGCGGCGGCCTCGGCGTTAGCCTGCCGCAGCTTGCGGCAGGCCTGGATGCTGTTCCTCAGCTTGGCCTTGCGCGCCTCCTCCCAGCGCCGCAGGCCGCGGAACATCCCGCAGTAGAGCAGCAGCATGACGGGACACGGGATGAAGAAGGAGCACACGGACGAGTAGAGCACGTAGTCGGCGTTCTCCAGCTTGCACTCGCCGGGGCGCCGACCCGCCACCTGGTTGACGCCCAGCATGACGGGGGAGGCCACCGCCAAGGCCAGGAGCCACGTGGCCGACAGCAGGACGGCCTGCCGCAGGTCCACGTGCTTGCGGTTGTAGTTGAGCGGGATCAGCACCGCGATGAACCTGCCGCCGAAACACACGGCGAAGTTCACCAGCGGGACCGAGCTCGTTCACTGCTGGCGGGAAAGCGAAGCTTCATGAAGCACTTGTGAGACTCCTCCAGATTGTGCTCCCGGTTTAAATGGAAAGGTGAGTGCAATGGAAATGTGTTACAATTCCACTCCATCTGTCAACCAAGAGTGCCATCTCGAGGAGTCGAAAACGATCACAAGTTGCTTCATGAAGCTTCAGTTGTCCATCGTCAGTATTCAGATTCACCAAAACGAGCCAAAGAATTTTTTATGTTTACTTTGACGGCAAACTCGCAAGTCAATGCAACAAAAAAAAAAATTGGTCCAGACAATGGCTCGTGTGTGGCAAAATCCAAAGTGGGGTCAGTGGAATCGCGAGGTGGGCGTACCTGTCGACGCTGATGGCGCACAGGTTAAAGATGGAGGCGGTGCACAGCATGACGTCCATGCTCATCAGGCCGTCGCACACGCCCGTGCTCAGCGTCCACACGCCGTCCTGGAACTGCAACACGCGCACGCAAGCAAGGTGACGACGATGCAACGCACACCTGCCACTAACTGGCCACTCCATTGGGTACAGCAGCCAAAAAAATGACTTTCCAACGAGCATACGGAAAATGATGAGTTTTCCTCAAATTGAAATTTTTTTTTTTTTTTTTTGCACATGCGTTGAACATGATTTAGAAAGACATTGTCGAGCCAACAGAGCATTCACTGGATCGGCGCCGCACGCAGCATGTCCCGAAATGGCCCATCGGCTGCCTTTCAAATGACTTCTTGACATCATTCCTGTTCAAAATCGGGACTTTCTGGACCATCTTGACAACAGCGCCTAGAACACTCAATTGACTACCTCGTGGCCTGAAATTAGATTAGTTTGCCCGTCTCCAAAGCAAGGCTTTGACTTTCAACACCCCTCATGATATATGAGCGTCAAACATCCGGACACAAACAAGCGTCGAAGTTATTTCACATTTCCCCTCCGCCTACAACTCACATAAAAATCTCTCGTTCTCAGTTTTTTCAATTTTGGTACCAAATCCAATGAATGGCTTTGGTGAGCGTAAATGAGACAAGACCTCGGAGTAGACGAAGAGGGGCAGCACCAGCACGGCCAGCAGCAGGTCGGCCACCGCCAGGCTGACGATGAAGTAGTTTGTGGTGGTCTTGAGGGCTTTCTCGGTCAGCACGCTGACGCACACCAGCGCGTTGCCTCCCACGATCACCGCGATCAGCAGCACGCCCAGCACCAGAGCGGCCACGTTGTGCCCCCGCGCCGAGGGAGACGGCGACCCCCCGGGGGCGGCGTTGTCCGTCATCTCCGTCCTCGGCGGCTCCTCTGCTGCGCCCCCCCCTGGCCCCGGCCCCGGGCTCTCATGAGGGACGGCGCCGCCGGAAACAAAACCAAACCAAACCAAACCAAATAAGAAGGTCCGCAAAGCGCTCTCGGTGGAGGATAAACCGAAGTCCTTCAAGATCCGCCGGCGTTGCTGAAAAGGAACATTTTGAGGCAAAAAAAAAAAAAAAAAAATCGTTTCTGCCCCCCTCGTTGGCGGCTGCGTTTGGCTCCGAGTCCGTCCGCCCGCCCCGCAGGCCGCCGAGGGCACCGGGGCCAAATGACACAATGAAAGCCGCTTACGAGCGGCGCCGCGGCGGCGGCCTTCCTTCGGCAACTTGGGCGAGTAGACGCGCGCGCTCACGCATGCGCGACGCGAACCACCTCACGTGGCCTGCGAGGTCGCGAACGTCACGGGCTTCGTTCGGAGACGACTGTCTCGTGTGCCTCGATGCACCTGCGCTCTTTTATATTTTGACGGTCAAAGTCAAACCAAGTTTCTTTTCATGCTTTTATTTTTTTTTATTCAACTTTATATTACTACATTTGCACCATTTTGAAAACATGTTTTGGAAAAGTTTGAGGACTTTGTTACATGAGAGTATGACTCAATTAATTGCATACGACGAACACGCTAACGCGTGCGGTACATTCATGGCAACATCAAGCGGCCATCAGCACATTCAGAAACATTCTCGCTTGTCTGTCCAAAAAGCAACGCTGCCGTCATTCGAAGGCGGTGCGACGTCAGCGCAAGCCGCTGCCGCCGAGTAGGACGTGAGGCCTGAGCAGTTCCAGGATGGGTCCGCGGGGGGCGCCGGCGAGGCAGTGGGCCTCGTCGGCGTTCAGGCCACAGGAGCGAAGCGTCGCCAAGGCGTCGCCGAAGCGTCGACGCCCGCCGTGCGCCGTCATCACCGCCACGCTGACGGGACTGCCCAGGACGCCGAAACGCCTTCGCATGGCGCCGAGCTGTGACCAGAAGCGCTGGGGGAGGGCGCACCGAGGAAAAGGTCTGACACGTGCATTTTCCGAAGAAGAACTGGTACATCGGTGAACTCTGAACTCGTGTGGTTTTCAGAAGATGAGTTCGCGTGTCGGTACCTGCGCGGACTTGGTGGCTGCTGTGGCGATGACATCATCTCCGCACAGCAAAACTCTGAGTTGCTTCGACGGGCTGGACCAAGTTTGATGGCCCAGCAGCGACGACAGGACGCCTGCAACACGTGAGCGGCCGTCGCCAGCGCAAAGTCAGAGCTCGGCCAAGGCGCAACTTTCGGACGCGTTTGGTTATCGGTGCGCTTTGAGTTTGTAAAATACAAAAGTCATTTTCAGGTTGGAAAAATCCAATTTGAACAGAAGGTCCTTTTTGTATCTATTCTTAAGTTGGCTACATTTCGGATATATTCACCTTTTTTCCCCCAACCTTTTCAATAATTTCATCCATTACAAATATTTACATGATTCAAGTCAAACAAAATGTGTAACTGAATATTTTTTAATAAATTCATCATGAGTGTGGAATGAAAATATTTTGCTTTTCATAAAAGCCATTTTCGTTTCTTTTCATCGAACTTTAGCAAAACGTATTTTGCCACCTGTGCTCTTTTCAACAGCATTTTGAAAAATGCAATCAGATTTTTTTTCGTGACGTTTGCTCATTCACGCAGGGAGGTATAATAATTGATTGGGATTTTATTTCTGCTTTCGAGCAAGCTGAGAAGAACTTTTCAAGTTGAATCGAGTATCATAATTCTTTGAAGCGCAGGTTGTACAAATGCACCACTTCAGACATCGGTGGTGGGTTGACTTGTTTTAACAAAGTCAAAGTCACCCGTTTTATCGGCAGATCATTTTGCTGACTTTAACTCGTGTATCTGTCATTTGATTCTTTTTTTATTTCCAGGTCCGTTTTTTTCCCCCTGCTGTTTTGTCACTCCACATGGTGGTGTCTGCGGTGCAGCCCTCTGGCGCCACCATTGGGACAACGCACCTCTTTGCCACACCAACGCCACTTCCTCCGGCTCTGTCGACAGGAACAGCTGCACTTGATTTTCAAGTAAACTCTCCACAAAGTCCTCCCGATCCGAAAAGCAGAAACGGCTCACTTCCAGACCTGCGAGTTCCGCGCAGCAAGTCAACGACAACAATCATTATCTTCCCAACTCAAATCATCTGCTTTTTTTAGAGCGATTAGAAACATAAAGCGGATCAGATAACGGGTTGATGGTTGATGGATGTGTGCGTTGACTCCCCCCACCCAAGACCTACCGTAATGTTTGGTGCTGCTGACGATGCGAGCGCTCTGCCGCTGCTGTCGCTCGTCGGTGGTGATGAGAAGCACGTCAAAAAGCAACGACTCGGTAGAATTTGCTTCCACCAGATGCCGATTCACACTCTGCAGTGCCTAAAAAAAAAAAAAAAAAATCCTTTTCTTTTTCAGCATGTCAACTCCGTGCGCCCCATCGTTGGTTGTTCTTGCACCTGCAGCAGTGGAAAGGCCACGCCCAGACGGTGCACTTCGCTGTCGTCGGCATCCTCCAGCACGGCCGAGCACGAGATGGCCACCACCAGTGCTTGCTCGGCATCTTTCTGCAGACACGGTAGTTTAGGTTTTAATCATGAGAATGACTTTTTTTTTAAAGCACAATAAACTACATATTATTTATTAGTTTGTTTGTGTCTTTGTTACCATTACGTGTTTTCAAGAGGGTTGCATCATAAAACGCCAGAAGATGACGTTTTATTTTTGGACATATTTATTCATATTTCTTTTTAATATTACACGTTTTTTTTGGGGGGGGGGCACAATTTGTCAATAAATAATACAAGAGGACTTTTGAAATCATGTGGCACTTACAACTTGGGTGAATAAACCCTTTCAAGGGACTCGAGGACGCTTTACTTAATTCATGAGGGCATTTAAACTTTTAAAATGGAGTTGTAAAAAATAGGAAGTCCTTCGTGCGTGTGTGCGTGCGTTTGTGTTTGACTTTCGACTCCTTTTGCCCCTTTGAGTGCGCGTGTGTGTAAATATGGAAATGAAGGCAGACATCGAATGAAAAGAAATCGTATCACTTGCCCAATACTTTTTCTATTGACAATATATCAGCTCAACAAGCAGACTACAATTAACGCCGATTTCTTCTGACTGCATGCACTATAGTGGAATTCCGTTTCCCCTTCACCTTTGTACAGAACGATTAGTCCAATGTTTATTGTTCTTTTCCTCCAGGTGTAGTTTGGTCACATGACGTTCTGGAGGCTTTTTACCTGTCTCACGTCAACGTTCGCGACGGTGGAGACCATCTCCGCCGCCCTGTCGACTCTTTGCCGGCGAAGGCAGGTTAAAAATACATGCGAATGAAACAGTTAACCCCCACTCACTCTTGACACCAGAGAAAATACGAAAACGGTCAGAAAAGTTGCTCCGCATACGGCAAAAAGTTCACTTCCGTCTTTTCTTGCCACCTCGCCGTCTTCCTCCTCCTGATTGGTGGATGACAACAACATGAGCTATTCATTGCCGCCACCTATTGGCTCAAAATTAAAACGATTCTGCTCATTAAAAATAATTCAAACGTATTTCAAATTCATCACTCATAAATCGTATCACTCCACGTTACCAGAGTTTAAAAACGAGTAAAGTAAAACGAGCTCCTTAAGAATCTCACACGATGACGTTCCCCACTTTTAAGAGCGTAGCCACGCCTACGAGCTGGCGTGAGGGTTGCCAACAAAACAAGTCAAACGGCAGTTTTTGCGCTTGGTTTTCTAAACTTCTTCCACAACCGATTGTCTCGCCTCGGACGAAGCAACCGCCGGCTCGAGAGCGTCGCGGTCGGCTTGGAACTTCATCGGAGTGCCGTTGCGGAGCTTTCAAACAAGTTTGCTTTGCAGACGCAACTTGTTCGCTCGTGAGCAACATTCTTCAGTTCAGGTGTGTCCCGTCTTCGGGGAGCTCGAACGCGATTGGCTGTCTGACACCTTCAGCGGCCACACTATGAGGTACCCTTTTGCTCCGCCACAATCCAGTTTATTAGTGTGTAACTGGCGACCAAACTATTGGGAACGGCTCCAACAAAAAACGTTGTCACCTGTCAATCATAACCGGGCACGTGCACCTCCTGTCTTGGGCTTGGAAAGCCAAAATAATCGGCACGCGCGCTCACTGATCATAGTCCGTAACCCTTTCTCCTGCCCTGTTGTGGTGAATACATTTGTGGATTGATGGAAGACCCGAATGCTGTGAAAACACCCGATTGTGGCCACGTCCCGCATTTGTTCGTGTTTGGTTCGTAGAAAACCGCCAAGACAGGCGAAGCCAACAAAGCGACCGTGAGATAGATGCTCGTACCTCTTAAACGGAGGCAAACATGGATGCAGAAGAGGCTCAAGAATAGAACCCTGCAGAACACCTCACAGGAAACATTTAGCTACAAAACCCTATCACGTCGCTCCCTTATTACGTACCCTAAGTGATTTTTTTTTTCTCTGCCCCCTGCAGAAGTCAGTGCAATCCAGGGAGACGGCAAGCTGCGGCACGGGGTGGCGTCGTCGGTCGGGCCGCGTTTCACGAGGCTCAACCATGCGGCGGCGCCTGGAACGGATCCGGAATTGGGGCCACAGGCGGGATGATATCGTGGATCTGTCGGAGTCGCCCGACATGTCGGATGCAGAATCCAGCGAGGAGGTGCGAAACGGAACACACAAACTCACACGGCTGCGCCGAGGTTATAAAAAAGTCTCAGTTGAAGGAGAATGAGAGTGAAACCTGCGGCACTTCGCTGAAAGAGGCCACTGAAAATCCAGTGCCTTTTTCTTATCCAATAAAAAGCATGCACGTCCAATGTTTTTTTTTAAACCAATATTTCAAATGACATCGTATATATTCCAAATGGATCCTTCACGGTGTTTTTTGCCCTTCCCTCAAGTTGTTCTGTGTCGGTTTAGGTCGTTTCAGCAAACTTTTCCGCATCTCAAGATGAATCCAAATCGGATCTGAATGAGATGAAAGGACACCTGGAGATGGCCTTGTTGGAGAAGCAT